AGAGGGCTTAACATAATGCTCGATTTTAAGGGTTTATTGCGTGAGTTAAGAAAAATAATTATATTTTTAAAGGTCATGGAATTTACCGTTAGTTTTTTGCGTTTATAGAAATTTGAAAAAGCTTGCGGTTTCGGAAATATAAGGCGTCAAAAATTAAAATTTTACAAATTTCAAAAGGCAATAACTTGAGAGTTGGTGGAGATAGAAGAATTTTCTTCAAACGAAATAAACTATTTGTTAGTGTCTAAAAGCTGGTAAAATTTAATTTCAGGCTTCAATAACCTGGGGTCTAGAAGAAAAATGACATAAAAAATTTGGAGAAAATGGATTTTAGATAATGGTAAATTTCAGCGGCCATTTCGTTTTTTTTAAATTTAACTTTAGTGGGCCGCGATAGGAGAAACAAGCCAATGCATTTCTGTGTTTGTAAAATTTGAAAAATGCTTATGGTTTCACTGCAATAAATAGTTAAAAAATGGCATTTTTAGAGTTTTAGGGGGGTATAACTTTTAAAGGGAGGGAGAAATAGGTAAAAATTTCCTTCTACAGAAATAAGATTCTAGTAAAGGTCTATGTACGTATACAATTTCAGCTTTCTATCTTCAAGGGTGTAGAAGTTTTGTAAACATGTCCACGGACGGACGGACAGAGTGAAACTAATAAGCACTTTTTTCAAAAAAATTTTGGAAAAGTGCTAAAAACTATGGGTAAAAATATGAAAAGTTACAATTTGTAAATTAGATCCAAAATTGCCTTTCATGTTATTAAGTTATGGTTTTTTTTAAATGTAGCTCTTAAAACTTTTGACGAGTTGCCGAACTTGTTACATAATCGTTTTTTTAGAATATTTCAATGCTGACAAATTCTTTTGATGAAATTCTTATAAAAAGTCTTTGAGTGGAGTTTTTGAACCTGTACAGGTTTTTTTTATTTTAATCTGCTAAAATTACAATAAACTTGATCCTATACTTGTCATGCAAACATTACTTTTATAAAATAAATACTATATCATTTAAAAAAAAAGTTATAACTGACTAATTTTATATTCGCATTGTAAACATATATGTATGTAAAAGTATAGGAGCTATGAAAAACACTTCTGTTTATTTAGTGAAGAGTAACTGATGTTAACTGACCCAGTTTGTTATATTTTGAATTTATTTTGTTTATATTTTTCATAAGCTTTTTTATGCATAAGGTTCCCATTATACATAGAATCATATAATATGTTCATGTTTTTGAACCTATACATACTTTATTATTATTCTAACCTTATACCAGCTCCTTTATAATTCAATAAATGTACCACTTTTAAATGGTCGTTCTTTGCATTTCAGGTTACTTTTTTCATTCTCTTCTTTTTATTATTTTGTTATAGACGACACAACAAACACCGATATGCTAAATTATACCATATCAAGTCATAATATATAGAGAGTTATAAGGTGTATTTTTCATAAAAAAAAAATATTATGTCATCAAATTCATATTGTGTATGTATATTAGAAATACCTAATAACCAAATACATAATAATATACTAATGTTTATCACAATGTTTTAGCATGCAAGGCAATATAAAAATTGTTTAATATTATTATGTATGCACATATAAGTATATAATGACAATTTTCTTGCTCTCTTTTTAACTTCATTCTACAAATTATGATTTTAAATCAATACTATCGTTTAAAAAAATATATATATATATATATATATGTATATAGTGCTATAGAAACGAGCTATTATCTATTATTATTATTATAATAATGACTATAGCATGTATAGGTAACAGGTGTTTTTAAATTATTTTTTTCACAAATTCATTATAAATAAACAGGTACTCAACTCATGCAAAATATCGTTACAATAAAGAAAAAATAAAAACATTGAATACTTTCTATAATAAATAATTTATGAGGTCAATGGGGGTATATAGTGCATAATATTGTGGGGTTTTTTTATGTTGTTTTTGTTTTGTTTTTATTATTATTTATTTTTTACAACTTTAGGCTATCATGACGTAAAACCACAAAGCCAATAATTTCTTTGCCATAATACAAATTTATGGTAAATTTTGTGTGAAATATTTTAAAGATTTTTACCCTCGTCAATAATATAATAATTAATGTTTAAGGAATAAATAATTAGAATTGATAAGAATGGTGTAAAATGAAAAACAATTCATTCCTCTGAAAAAATCTCTTTTTATATATATATATATATATATATATTATAGTTGATTCGTAGTAAGTACGGAATTTTAAAGTGGGAATTCAATACTTGAACAACAATATAGCCATAGGTGAATTTATGTAAAGTTTTTATTCAAGTTTCTTAAAGTTTTTATTTAAATTAAAATAGATTTGAAATGGTGGAACTTATCTAAAATAAATTTTAGTACAAGAGCTCCAAATAAAAACTGCATACCGAGTGAAATATTCTGAGCAATTTAACCAATAATATACTCGTAATTCTCACAGAATTATCGTAGTTGAAAAAATGTGTTTTGGGCTAATTAAATTCAAGCTTCAAAGTAAATTTTAACAAAAAGAAATTGGTACTTTTCATAGTTTCATTCATAAGTTCTCTATTCATTCATTTTACTCTACTATCACAATTTTATTGAATTGATCTTTAAATTTCTAATATAAACTTTAAATTGTCATACTCATGAACATTATAATCATGTTCTTTAAGAATTTTCCAAGACAATGCATTAACATACTTGGATTTTTTTTTTGAAATCTGAAAAAACTAAATAAATTTTTAAAATGTAAGGAAGGGAATTTTAAAATAAAGATTCTTTTCTTTCTCATATTCAAATATACAAATGTATATACAAAAATATTTTGTATGTTTGAAATCTCTTTCTAAACCAATTGAGTTTTATAATTTATGCATTCACTTGAACAAAAAAAAAGAAAATGAAAATATTATCGGAATTTTTCTTATCGTTCAATTTAATTTTGTACATTAATTCTTACATGCATGTACGATATTAGAGTGATATGATATATTCCTGGCAATTTATACATTCTTGGCTTCTCAATGTTCAATTAATATTTGAAATATAGCGACAGAAGTTAATTTTCGATGTTGTGCTTTTGCTATTGGTGAAATTCATTGAGTTATTAGAGTATTTCTAGAATATTCTTGTATTGAATAAAAATTAGATTAATAAAAAATTTTTTGCTGTTTACAATTACAGAAAGTTTTTGACTTAAATTGAAGCATACCCAATTTAAATAAATTAGTAACGCCTAATAAACGAAATAAATATAAAGTTGAGGTGCAGCCCTAAACAAAGTAAATGTTTTTCGTTAAGGATAGGTAAATTGTTTTTGACTCTAGCGCACAAATAATTATAACCCCAATTTTTTGGAATAACCCCAAAGAGTTGATCAGTTTTTGAAATCTTATTTACACTTAAAGCAGTCAAACAAGATTGGAAAACTAAATCAATGTTAAAAGCAATGTTACATATTTCCCATTAATATGAGATTTATTCCAATTACTTATAGTTCTTTGATTTTGGCTATATAAAATTGTTTTTTCAAAAATGTTGAAATTAAATTTGTGGTGTTAAAAAGTGTAGCGCTACTAAGACACTGTTTGCTATTTTGTTAAATAACTTTTTTCAGTAGTCCCAATTTCACCAAAATTAAGGCGAGTAAAGGCCAAGCCGAAATTGAATATGAAAATTAGAATTTAAGTAGTCTTAATTTTTATTCTTAATTAAGGTATTGCCCCCTTTATGCACCTACGTATTTGTAACGATTAAGCTAATATACAGGGTGATTCTGGAAGGTATACAACAACATATACCATTATTTAGAGGATTGAAAATGGGTAAAACTTTCTTTCCCAACTGGGTGCCAAATCTCAAGAGTTTCCGAGTTCCAGGGATTTTAACAAATTTTCGAGAAATTTTAACATTTTTACTGAAATGTAGCAAATAATAATAAAATTGAAACGAAATTTCATAAAAACTTTTAATTTGAAAAACAAAAATTGATTTTAAAAAATTTGAAATTTTTGAATTAGAATTTTGTATTACGAAAAACAAAAAAAAATCTAGTAATCAAAAAATTTTTTTCGAAACTTATCTTGGTAAAAAAAATTGATAAGTTTTTTATTTTTGCCAATTTTTATAACAAATGGTACCTATATGGTTTGAAAATTTTAAATGCATTTTTTTCAGATTGGGTGCAATTTAAAAATTTGAAAAAAATATTTTCGAAATCTAGACACCATTTGGCATCTGAAGTTATTAAAATTATCCAGCTGGAGTGAATTTTTAAAGACGTGCTATACAAATTTTGACATTTATTTTAATAGAAAAAAAAATTTTTTTTTTAGTAATAAAATTTAATTTTTTTTTACAAAATGGAGTTTGTAAAAAAAATTGTGCTAATATTATCCGAAGTTACAAAAAATACAGAATCAAGCAGCATGTCTATTTTAAACCCTTTACTAGGCATTTCAGAAACTGTTTGTTTGAATTTCTTAACTTTTTCTGAACGGAAGTTCTAATCAAGAAAACCTTAGATAAGTAAAAATTTCTCGAAAATTCGTTAAAATCCCTGGAACTCAAAAACCCTTTAGATTTGGCACCCAGTCGGGAAGGAAAGTTTTACCCATTTTCGATCTTCTATGTTGTTCTATACCTTCCAGAATCACCCTGCATATATTTTTATTTCCTAAAAACCTCATGATTTCATAAAAGAAAATTTATTTCATCTTTCCATGTAAAATATTTCATATTTTGCCAGTAACTTTTTGATAAAATCAAACTGTTTGTATAAGTATGTGCGTGTAAATAAAAAAAGAAAATTCATAATAGACCCAATTGCATTGTAAACTTTTTAAATTTATTGATATTGCAAAAAAAAACAACAAAACTAAATCGCAATGGTATAAGAAACCGAAAATAATCATAAATAAAAATCAATATTTAATTTATTTAATTTTTGTTTCTACATTTCTGTTCTCTTTTCAGGGAAAATACAAACAAAATTTTTTTATTTTACCATAAGAGTGGCGTTCATTTGAGGGCGCAAACAAAGTAAAACCTCAGACAATATAAAAAAAACAACAACAAAAAAATAGGAAAAATTTAAATAAACACACTGGAGAATTGGGCATAAATAAAAGTCGGAGGAGGAACATTATTTTTTTTATATTTTTAATTTTTTTTTTTTGGTTTTTTAATTTTCCACAATAATAATAATAAGAAAAAAACAAATTCAAAATGGGAAATTCAAGTACCAAATTAGCTGAAAAATGTTCCTTATTAACGCGTGATGAAGTTCCAGTTGTTGCTAATTCATTTAAATTTGTTAGTAAAAACTCAGATAGAATAAAAGAAGATGATCTCATGGTAAGTACAATGATACAATGTATATATATATGCATACATATTTACAATTTTTAGTTTACATAATATTTACATATACGAATTACAAGAAATATTTTATGTACAAAGTTGTTTGCAATTTGGTTGAAGGTTACACTACATGATTAAAATTAATACTCGTATATAAATTCGCTTCTATTCAAATATCCGTATACTCTTTAAATAGGAAGTTTGATTGTGTGTTTAAGGAAATATACCGTTATATTGAGGGTGTAATGATAATGGTTAAAGAAATTTGAAATGAAAATGTTTTTCTTGTCTGCAATAGAATAAATTTATGTTATATAATTTATTTTCAAAAAAAAAAAATCTGATATGGTCAGCACATAACCGACCGCAATGTGTATTGTCTAGTTAAGTGAAAGTGTTACAGAATATTATAAAAATGTCTGTTAAATACTTCTTTCAAATTTTTAGGACATTAGTAGGCTTATAGTTAACATACCCAGAAAAATGTAAATTTGACTCTTAGTAGAGTTTCGCTTTGTGCTATACGAATTCCCTGAAATGCTCGCCAGTTAGTTTCGGTAACAACCAGAACTCAAATATCAAATTTCAAGAAATTCCATCAATTCGTTCCGTAGATATGGTGAAAAATGTAAAATCGGCCCGCAGATCAGTTTTCGAGCCCTGATCTTTCCAAAAAATTTATATGTTCATTGTTTCAATACGAAGAATTTAAATATTAAATTTCAATGAAATCGGTTGATTATTTCTCTTTATATACGCAAAAATGTATATTTGGCCCGTAGTAAACGCCCAGTTGCTGATGCCTGATTTCTTCCAAAAGTTAGGAATTTTTGCGGACGGTTGAGAAAAGCTTACATATGAAATGTCAAGAAAATCGGTTGAATATTTTCTTCAAAATGTGTAAAAATGTAAAACAGGCCCGCAAAAAAGTGCAGTTCCCGGGGCCTGATATATCCCAAAAGTTGATCAATCCGTGCCATGGTGGAAATAAACTTACATATAAAATTTCATCGAAATCGGTTCAGCAGAACTTGAGATACACGCGTGCACACACAGACCGACAGACCGACAGGTTGCTAAAAATAGTTTATTTACACTTCTCTACTATGGAGAAGTGGATTTCCACCGAAAACTCGATATGCAAAATTTATTGCCATCACATAACCTACCTATTGTATACACAATACGGTCGGTAAAAACAAAATTACTGATATCATTCAAAATATCATTCGCTTGCTGGGAAACTATAGAAACTCAGAAACAGCCACATAAAATTTTTTTGCTGTGTTCTTTTTCTTAGATTTTAAGCAGTTTAGCTCTAAAATTTATTCTCTGTCAAATTGTCAGAATTTTTGTATGAAATTTAAAAATAAATATTCTTAAATGTAATTCCGATATGCAGAACATCTTTATCTTGGAATTCGGCTTAAGTAAAATCTTTATATAAATTCTTTATGGAAATTTTACTTAGAAATAAATTTTCCTAAAGCAAATTTCTTCTTAATTCAAAGTATATTTTATATAAAATAAGAAAAGCAGATTCTATAAAGGTTGAAAAATGTAAATTTTAGAAAAATATCTTTTATTGCAATAATTTCTTTTTAGGCCCGAAAATATCCTGGTTTAAACAATAATTGCATGATTTGAAGTGAAGTGTAAATTTTATATTCTTTATCCGAAAATTTATTTAATGGTTAATAAAAAATATCTTAGAAATTTTCAAAAATATCTTTCTAAAGTATTTTAAGAGTATTTTAAGATATTTTCAAATTAAGGGATTTAAAAACAACTTTTGAATTTATAAAATATTTTCTAAAAAAGTAAGAATGCAAAATGATCGTCTTATTGTCGCGAACGGTACTTATGCTGAACTAAATTTATCAATAGTCTAATCTTTTTACTATTGGAATCTTTTTAAATTAATTATATCATTCTCCCCTAAATATATGCAATACAATATGGCAATAAAAGAAATTTTTTCAATACAATATTGTTTTCGTTATTTAGCTTTGAAGCTAAGTAAATATGTATTAGTTTTCATCTTAAATTGTTAAAGAAAAATTTGCTATTTAACAAATAATAGACATACAAATATTCTTCGATCTAGTTGATTTGGTCATAGGTGTCTGTCCGTCCAAGTGTTAACTTAAAAACTAATTGTGTTTAAGTTTACCAAATTTTTACAGATGATTTATTATAATAAAGGACAGAATAAAATCCAATTTGAATTAAAAATTTTTAAATATTTTCAATACGAAATGTTTCAAGTTTTGCTGTTCGAATTATGAGGATTCAAATCCAAATATAATGTTCTCTTACTCTTCTGTCAATTCATAAAATTTTATTATTTTGATTTACGTATTATTTAATATGTATTTATAATTCCTAAATAAAATAATTTTTATGATACTTATAAAGGTTAGAGTCACAATGTGCTATATTGTTAAACTAAATTTCCATCGTGAAAATTTTAGCTGAGGGATTAGAACTAAATATACAATAAAAATTTATCTTATCAAATTGATATTCGTATATTTGATTTATTGTATAAAACCATATTCAAAAAAAACATGAAAATTTCTTCCATAATATATGCAAAACAAAAACAATAGACATACAATTTTATAGCCTTACATCAAGAATTTGCGTTTTATACGTTTTTATAGGTTTGTAAATATACGGAATGTAGTCTATATATGTTGATTGCCATGTAGTCCTTGTCTATTTGATTTATGATAGTTACACAATATTGTTTTCTCTGTATTATGTGTGTGAATAAAACATATTATTTTGTAAATTGATACGCAATTTCATCAATTCAACTCACAAAAAAAAGTTTTTTTTTATTATCCTTTCTCTTTCTACAAAACAAAATATCCTATTTATTATATTTTGCAGAAGAACTGAGGTTATGAATAATGTAGTTTCAAATTTTATAAAAACGTTAGAGTTTAGCACATGAGAGGAAAAGTTTTTTCAATAATTTGATTCCTTCATCAATTAATTAAATATATTTTTAATTACATTCAGGCCGTTTTGGGAGCGAGTCGCATTATTTTGCAAAACAATTTGCATCTAAAGATTCTAAAGTAAATTTTATCTTGAAAAATTTTAATAATATTATTTTTAACAATTTTTATTTTTCTTATATCATCCTCTCATTCTTTTATATTGTTAGGTTTTTGTTTACTTTCGTGCGAAGTGAGACAATCTATAGTGTGGTCTTAGTAAACTGAAAAATTAAATCTTTTCAAAGTTTTCATGTAAAACAAAACTAACAACTTGAAATTTATAGTAAATTTCTATACTGCCTTATTAAAATTATAAATTAAAAAATTTTCAGCTTTTAGTTTTAATTCCAATCAGTTGCCGAGTATTATGTGGCTTTTTTTAAAATTCAAGTCGAGAATTATATATTTATGAAGAATGTAACTTTAGGTCTAAGTAATCAAAGCGAACTATTGAAATAATCCCTGTATAACCATATAATTTTGCATAAATTTAGGAGAAATCTCAAGGTAAACATTTATAAAAATTTATTCAAATTTTGAAAAGTTATATCTTTGAAGGAGGTGAGATTACAAAAGAAATCTTGTTCTACTAAATAAAGTATATATTTAGTGATACCTATATAAACTTTTAATACTTGCACCTGTCGGAATTGCCGTTTAAGTGAAAAATTACTCCGAATATTACCGTATAATCGGCTTTACTCTTAATTTAAAATTTAAAGTCGACCCCCTGATATTTTCTTGTAGTTTTCTGTGATAGAAGTATTTTTTCCTGAAGTGTGATAAAAGTAGTGACTTTCTTTCTACATTTACAGAATTTATAAATTGTTGTTGCTGCTTGTGCTATAGTTTATCAAAATTTAACGATTTTGATGAATGTGTATAGCTTATTGGTTAGAAAAGGATCACGATAAAAATTTATTCCGAAGAAACGATGCCTTTATGGTCTATGTGTGCATAAAAAGTTTCATGTTTTTATCTGGAACTCTGTAAAAAGTTGAGAAGTTTTGTAAATTTACAGGCTGGGAGACGAACAGATTTAAACTACTAGCCACTAAAATAATTTGTTACATATACAAAAAATATGATAAAAATTATTGTTTGTGTTTATAAATGAAATTTTGGATTATACACATCATAATTTTATATATTAAAATTATTTTACATATATATGTATATAACCGTTATACGAGTATTAACTATCAAAGTAGACACTTAAGGGATTAATATTAATTACTCTCTAAAATTTAGATAAATTACTAAATGAACGTTTGATTCAGCATTATCAATTTCTAAAGCTTTCAATAACATTAAGCAGAGGAAAATTAATTAATTTTTTTAATCAATAAAATTATTTCTTTTTTAAAAGAGATGAGAATAACCCAGGACTTGTTTGATATTGTCTTTGAGAACAAAAATATTTTTATTTACATTAAATTGCGCGGTAAAAAGATTTCAAACATGTTGTAAATGGTGTGTACTGGGTCTTACAAAATTAATGACTGCAAAGAATTTTCTTTTTGAACGTGAATATTTTTTATTATTTTATAATCCCTTTGAAAATTCAAATTTCAGTTAATCTATAGAGTCTATATTTGTGACTATGGCGTATCTAAGGTAAATCTTATGTCATAAGGGAATTGTATAGAGAAAAGTGGTTCCAGATAGCAGTTTCATCCTTTGTGGCGCCAAAGATTATGAACAAGAAATTTTTGTTCCAAAATGTTCTTGAAGCATGATAAAGACCTATCAAATAAATAATAACTTTTAAATTTTCATTCTTACATAAATTATAAATTAATTTCATACAATTTTTGAAGGTTTAATATTTGATAGCTCCTTATGTTTTTAATTATTTTTAGGTTTCAATTAATTTTTATTAACTAAAATTTTCTTGCATAATTTTTCTTTTCTCTCTTAAAATTAATTATTTAATTCATTTTTAATAATATATCTTACTTAATATTTATAAATATTTCATTT